ACTACCCAGCTTGAAGGAACAGGATAAATATGGGTTTAGGATGTTCTAGGAAGACCTTATCCATGGAGAAAAGGGATGTTAAAGAGACAATTTGGAAAACAGATCAATCGAGATTTCGGTGGATCACACAATAAAACGCAGTTACTGAGGACACGAAAGCGAAATACCAGTGCTCCTGAGAATGAGAATTGCACACATGAACCGTGGACAATTAGAACCGACCTTCTTTATCAAAGAGAGGATGATGTGAAGGTGTTGACTAGCATGGCCCAGCCCCTTCAGAAGGTGTAACTTTATGGTCTGTCCAAATTTGATGTCAAAGCTAAGGCCAGCGAAGCTGCTTCGTGGCCTAATCAGTCTGTAACAAAACGAAAAAAATCATGCAATCTGCCGTCGACATTTGTTGTGACAAAACAAGACACCGCAGTTTGTAATAAAAAGACCAACTCTAAATCTTGAGGTTACCCGATGGAAACACCAAAATTTCCGTGTTCCATCTATGCTACATTTTCCTCTTTATCATAAATGCATATTTGCTGGGACAAGTTATTCTCTGAACTGATTCTTCACTCAGTGATGTTAGTTTTGAAGCTGAGCAGCAAACCATTGTTTTCAGTTGGTCAAAATTCCTCTTTCAAAGGACATATTTCCTGATCTGCAGTGACTTGCTTCGTTTGTTTCATGAGAAAAACTATTTTACGTTGACTGCGTAAGATATTCCTAAAATATATTTATGTTCATAAGTTGGACAGTTTTTAAGAGGATCCTGAATCTCATGTAGTAGGAAATCCAGTTGCATTTTTCGTGTAGAAAAGTCGAACGGAGCAAGCCGGAAACGAACAAGCGACACTCCGCTTACCGGGCAGATGATTCACCAACTGAGTTATCGTGGTTCGGCCAGTCGGGTGTGAATACCGTAAGTGAATAATTGATGATGCGCGGACCACTATTACAATGATACACAAAAACTGTTCTGGTTTCAGTCACTGGGCAAGCACCGTCGGTCAGTTTCTAATGGGAGGAACAGCACAAGGATGAATGTGATTCAATTGACATTGAAATTATATTCATAGAATACGATGTCAGCACGAAAAACCTGAACCTTGTGTAATGGAAAATTCACTAGTATTCACTGGTTTTAATCAATCTCGACTGGCCATTTCGCGATAGGTCAATAGGTAGAGCGTCTGCTCGGTAAGCGGAATGCTACACGTTCGTTTTTAGCTCGCGACTTTCGACTTTTCCACGTGAATAATGCAAGTAAATTCTCCATTACACGAAATATATTCATTTCGTTCTCTTTAACTTTTGAAATATGAGATTCCACGTAAGTATTATCGCCTACTTTAGTTTTGCATTATTTGTCGAGTATTTTAAACTGCACGACTTTGGTTACCAATGCAAATATGCATGAAGTTAGAAAGCTTAAATTTATTTTAAGGTCAACTGTGAATACATTTTAAGACTATGAAGATGGAATTCGTTCCAGATAGTTTTCGTCACTGATAAGTAGATACTGAACTTATTAGGAGCAGCTCTTTTGCTAAACTGTCGGTTTGAGCTGACTTGATCAGGATAGAGAAATTGTTTTCAGGGTTGGATGAAGATATTAGTGCACTTTTTCATATCAAAGTTAGTAGCAGAAAATGTTGTACGTAATGGAGTCGAGAATAACGAGTGTAATTGTACCTGCAATGGTTCACTGTGTGCAAAAGGGCTTCAACGAGTGAGGGAAAATAAAGGCACATCGTTAACCCCGGTTCCAGTTCCAGTTGGGAATCGGTGGATGTACAAATTCGATATTGCTTAGCAAGTCCCACGAGAAAACTGTAAATACATCCATAGTTTCCAGTGGCAAGTTAGGCATTGAAACTATTGGATGAATTGCACTGACTGACTACTTCTATTATCGTAAACTACGAAAGTCTTTCGAATAAACGGACTATTCGTTTCTCAAAGTTAATAATTTGGACTATGTCATGGCTATGACCACATTGGGAATATAAGGCCAGACAGTGAACAGTTGTTTTCGATGATTGATCTACGTACCTTAGCAGTTCAAGTGGGTGGGTTGACGGTGAAATGTATTGACTCTTCATTCAATCCAGCAAAAACAGCAAGCTACGGATCTCCGACTGAATCCTGAAGACCCAGCTACGATTATCAAGAATGACGATGGGAATATAGTTCTCACCATGACAACCACACAATAGAGACCAGGTTATACCACGGCCCGCTACCATTTTACTGTGCTTCGAAAATAACTATTAGCTAGACCAATGGTCATCTGTTCCACATGACTTGTGGGAGCGTGTGCAGAATCCATTGAGAAAAGTTGTTCACACACCAGGGTCTTGTTAGTCGACTTAACTTTGAAGCTTTACAGTCCCACGCATATTTTAATCCTCCATTTATATATGTTTAAAGTATCATACTAGGTCTTGGTATGCAGTGTTTGCTCTCAGATTGTTCGTATTGATCTTATTTTACTTTCATCTGTATTCAGCACCACGTCAAAGAACCTCCTGTACAGTGCGTCGATCTCATCTTGACGCGTAACCCTATTTCCACTAACCGTTTTGCGTTTTCCACTTCGCAAGGCTCTCGTTTCTACCGCCCAGAACCACGATGGAGATTGTTTTACTGCTGTTACATAATTTTTTCTGGTTTAAATTTGAAATGCTATTCTCATCAAGAGGTCCTCGAAAAGGTTTCCTCCCGCAAACATTACCATTAGCCTTGTGAGGAATTTCTTGTTATCTTATTACCTGGGACTAAATATGGCCTTCAATTTTCCACATACTTCTATTATTTTCTCACTCAACCCCACTCAGAATCAGAAATATACTTATTATTTTCACCACCGAATACAGAGACAGTATAATGCCCCTTATCTGTGGAACAAATTTTGAGCTCTTTATGGTGTTATGCTCATGAGACGAATGGCATACGGATGTGCCTGATAACTATAATCACAAATCAAATGAGACTTATCTGGTATTCAGAAGACCCAAGGTCACAAGACATGGAATATGTGTGAGTTGAAAATTCATCTTTGATTTGGTGTATTTTAGACTGTATTGAAGGGATTCATGGGTAAGAAGTAGAATGAAACATTTTATTTATTCGGTATTTGAAGTTTGTTATTTTCGTCTTGGCCAGTCACATATGAAATGGGGAATAGGACATGAGCTTTGTGACCGCTTAGTTGACATAAGTTTGAGAAAAGCACAAACTGCATATTATTTGTTGAAACGGCAGCTTTAATTTCACTGAGACTAATCAATAAGTAAACTCCAGTGTACAAGTGGTCAATCAGTCATGCCTAAGACAGAGAATTTGTGTGAAATAGTTCGCCAAATCAAAATAAACACATGTTTCCTTCAAATAAGTCGACCAACTGGTCGTGGTCGATTCATTTAGAGTATTTGAATACCACATCAGAGATGGAATTTTGAATCCCGCCACAGTCGGTTCTTGTGATAGTAGACAATAATCCACCGTGGCCTTGCTTGTCACCTGACCTGATCTACTGGGACATTATGTTTTTGTCCACTACAGGTCTCGGGTCACGTTACCGGTGCTTAGTGAAATAGAGCTTTGGGACTGCGCAGTATATGCCCTCCATCACACTGGTGTTGAATAATGTAACGAGAGACCGAAATGGGGTGGTTGAGATAGCTTTCGTTATTTTGTTGTGCGGCTTTGAACAAAAAAGTATCCTTTATCTTTATTTTGATATATTATTTGTCAAATCCGAACAATGTCCTTCCGGAAAACTACCCAATGATGAAAAATTCTATAATGTCATTATTTTTTCTGACGGGTGGGAATATTTGTGGAAAAGGTGGTCTAGGCCGCGTTGGTAGGAAATCATCACAAGTTGCAAGCATGAATACGATACCAGCCTGATTGGTGGGAGTACGAGCGCTGGACTGCTTCTCTTTTTGTCGATCAAAGAAGAACGTCCCTTTTCGACCTCGGCTACTGGTAAAACAGTCAATGGTTACCGTGGGAACAAATATTGTGATTCAACTGTGAAGATGGCTCGGTTTATTTGAACTAAATAAAACAAAGTCTACTGGAATACGCGTACTTCTCCAGATTGAACAGAAGTGTTTTTCTACTTCGCAAAATCAATCTTTCTTCTGGAAAAATATGGGGAATTGAAAATAATGACTTCACAACGATCACTGACACACTGAGTGCGGCGATTCTAGTTATCATCAATCAGATTCGTGGTACGGAAAAACAAGGAAACCAAGAGTCTCAGACCAGCATTAGAAGACTGCGAAGCAAAACTCGCCGTGGTTCAATAAACCATGTTAGTGAGAAATCGTGGTAGTGGTTATTCATAGCATCTGTCAACTTCAAGTGGTAGTGCTTAGCAGGTTTTAAATGCGCACTTGCATAGTTCTGGAAAAGTCAACAGTTGTTGAGTTACCTAAGTGAAAGGGGGACATCATATGCGTCCATTCGCGTTGCATGCATTTCTCAAATTGATTTGCAATATGCACTTTTGATATTATGTGAGGATAATCTGAATGAGTTACAAATACAAAAGCAATGAACAAGATGTGTCCAGGGAAGAGGAAATCCACTGTCATGAAGGGGACTGATTACATAGGATAAAGAGACCAAGAGAAGTACAAACGGTAAAAAGTGGGATCGCTTTAGTACTAGTTCAATTTGTATGTTGCAGAATCAGTGACTGAAGTTCTCTGAGCTTGCGTGTGTGTTTATAAGAAATCAGATGAAGGGTTGGAGCTGAACATGCATGCCCAGTGCACTGATTGTTGTGGAGTTCAGTTGTATTCAATTGAAACAAGATCTTGCAGAAGATGGAAGATTCAGCGCAAAGTTTGAGCAGAACTGAACCATGGCCGGTTAGAATGTTGAAAATCGAGGACCAAATGAATATTGTCCATCTGACATGAAATCAGAATGCCACTACAATGCCGTATTTGATTTCATGGTCTGTTGATTCTTTTTTATATTAGTAGTAGTAGTAGTAGTAGTAGTAGTAGTAGTAGTAGTAGTAGTAGTAGTAGTAGTAGTAGTAGTAGAAGTAGAATTCAAGAGGCGGATGATTAGCCCAGTTGATCTTGACGCGTTTTGTGGGGTCGGATAGGCAACTTCTGAGGCAGATTGAATACCGGTCAAATGCTCACTTTCTAGACATGAATCACTTTGTATTGGATTTGCGTTGACCAAGGTAAGTGGATAGACAGTTGGATAAACGGAAAGATAAAAAGATAGTTTGTTCCCTATCTCCATACATTGGTTTGTTCTTTAAAACCTTATAGTTATCGTGAAAGAGATGTGTGGGAAGGTCAATTTCTCAACGGCACTGAGTTTGTATGGATCCTCACATTATCCTTCCATAGGAACAAGAGGACATTGCATCTATGTTACAACCAGAAAGGATCTTACTTGCTCATCAAATATAACCACTCTAGAAATTGTGCGGTAATTCCGACTGTAGTTATACTCAATCAGTTCATGATAAACTTATTGGGACATCCAAAAGTCAGTACAGTGATAGGTCAATTAAGCCGCGCACATCTACTACTTTGTCACGTGCACGGGGTTTATAAACCCATAGGGAAGATTGTCATTTACACTCTAATGATAGAATAGACACCTGGTTTGATAGAACCGATAATTGGATGTACAGTGACTAACGACATCCGTGAGAAATATATATTACTGTAGGCTAAATGGAGTGAAAGATGATGTTTGAATAAGTAAGCAATCGATGGTCATCAAAATAGATCAACCCCTTTCGACAAGTTTGCGTAATTTCATTCAAAATTAGTCAGTGCTCAAGTTAAACGCCTTCTATTAACAAGTCAATACTAATATTAGGATACTAATACGAATTCTGAGGTAAAAAAATGCCCTGTGAAGAAAAGAACGAACAACTGTAAAATGTTCTTCAGAATATGAATTGACGGCTGTTCTACTGAATTTTGATGACGGTCATCGATACAGGCAATGTTCAAGTTGTGTTGCTGGTTGGTTTGGCATTCGTGGGCCAATTTTCAAGTATAGGATGACGAACTATTGAAGAGTAATCTTAAGGAAGGGAATATGAACAACTGCTCGTGAGGTATGTTGTTAATCTTGACGTGATGTCCTACACCATCTGTTCGACGAACCTATCGGTTCTAATCACTTCACATGTTAGTGGAATTAAAGATTCTTTCTGTTTGAGGTATCGGTGGTTCTTTGCAAGTGTTCACTTTGTACTGTGATAATTGTTAATTCCCGTGTATTGAGCCCAGTTTATGACTTGCAGTAGTGTGGTGTCTGACTTATGAGAGCTATGCATATACTGCTTTCAGTATTCACGCTTCAAAATAATCTGGTCGTCTTTGGCGATTCAAGTGCAACCGGATTTGATTGAAACTTGAGAACACTTCAGTATTCAATCAAAGAATCACGTGGCATTTTACCAAGTAGAGAGCAAAAAGTACATGTTCAACTTGATAACTCGTCGTACAATTTTACTGTCCCTTCTTGTTGACAGTGAACAATTTCCTAAAATATCGGGCCATATTATAAAATAAAAAGGCAGTAGATAAAAGAATATAAGAGAAATGGGTTTATTCTTGCTGGGATATTTGTTAGTTGATATTTTCTTGGCTTAGTGAAACGTTCCTCATCAAATGTGCAAAACCAGTGCTATGCTGTGTACGGCTTCAAATACGGAATATTTTTCATGTGATATCGAGGTGTATCGGGTGGCTAATTCACGTGGATGAGTAATCAACATGATATGTGATGAGGTACGACGACTGCGTTTGGAGCTTTCTAAACTCTGTTCAAAAATATGATTGGAATTTGGTCAGAGCTCGTGTGTTTAGATGTGAATGATCACCCGTGACACTAGATGATAGATCATGCAGAAAGGAATGATATTTCGTTGGAAATCGATTGCATTCCTTCTGAGAGCCCTGAAAAGTAAAATCACAAGGCCCTTTAAAGGATGTTTTTGGTAAGAAATTCTTTTTATGTTCCCCAAGCGCCTGAAAGTTGAAGTAGGTTGTAGGAGATAAACCTCCAATCCAGAGAACAAATGAAACTGTGGTTTTGGAGACCGAACTATTGCCGACAAAAAAACGTTGCTCTCCACTGCAACTGCTTGCTGATGTACACACCAAACACATGGGTTTTCCCTTTCTTTCAGTGTAGGAAAGCATGGTAAATTCATTCATTTCGGTGCCTGTTGTATGCAGTTACCCCCAAAACTGAGATTATGTGAAACAAGGAAATACAAATAATTAGTGTTTTTTGACACGCCGTCTTATGTCGTAATGCTCATGGTATATACAATTTGATGATCGGTATGTTGACTCACTCTGGTCCCAGTGATTTACTAGGCCATTTATGGAGCAGAGTGTATCAACTTAGTCAGGGACCACCAGTTACCCAGTGCTATACTGCACAGATATTTTTTGTCTTTAGAATCCAATGCAGAGAGATAGTAATGGAATAATTCTCAATTATGGAAACAAAGCCCCCATCACAATCAAATCGGAGCTGTTACAGGGGACGTGAGAATGACAAGCCATGGAATTATTCGTGACTAACATCCCAGGCTTAGATACTTTAGGCAAATAACTGAACGCGTCATCTTCTGTGAAATATGCAAACTCATGTGGGAAGCAAACTGGAGCATAAAACCTCGGAAAATCATCCTCTCTGATAAAACGTTTGGTTTGGTAGTCAGTAGCATTTGTTGTTGCTCCAGAATAATAATTCCACGTTGTCCGGGGCATAGTGAGGAACACCGTGTTCACAAGGTTGACTACTCACGTCGACCAGTGTGGGTGGTTTTACGAATTCTTAGTTTTTACGATGACTTTTCTTCGAAAGGTTTTGTAACAATTGATATGTTAGTGAGTCATGTCAGACTAATGAATGAGTGTAAATCGATTGCAACACGTGACCCGTTTCATTGGACGCGTAATTCCATCTATGGATCGATCAAAATCTGAGGCAGCTTCAATTTTGACTGTCACGTCTTTTATCTAACACAATATTTGTGTGAGTAACGCAAGAAAAACGTGTTCTTGCGGCAACATTTACGGAACTATCCCAAATGAGGTCTCAGAAATATTGGCCCTGTAGTCTATTGAAAATCTGTCTACCTCCTATTTACTAAATCAGTGAGCTTTTCTGACTTCCAATGAACTGTTCTCCATTGCCGCCATTGCCATACCTAACTACGCTAACATGACATTGATGTATATGTTGAGCATCACAAATACATGAAAAATGGTTTGTTGTAGAGGTTTCATAAATCAAAATTTGTTATTGTGACACCAGACACTAGGGAAATTTCCTAGTGTTTCTTGCATTCATTCTGGTTCTTTCTTAGAGATACAAATGCAGTCCAGACTCAGGTTAAATGACCTAATACTGGCGTGATCTGCATTTGTTCTGCATCGCCGAAAAATAAACTCACGCAGAATCCCTCTTCAATGTCTTCCTTTATTTTAGTCATCTAATTGCGATTTTATCAGCTGAAGGCCTCTAGGCTTCAGGCAGATTTGCTCAGACAACCAACCTCATACTATCGGCAGTCACTGTTCCACTGGCTGCCTTTTATTGGCCGTGGATCCCTTCCTGAATTGTTGTAAGTTGTTTAGTAGTAAATAATAGCTAGAAGGAGTACTTTTGTTACTAAATTTTATAACTGTACCTTTAGTAATAAATTAAACATGTGTAGTCAGGATTATGGGGGAACATAGATAATTAGTTCTTCCCCCACGGTAACCTGGGCTTTATGAAATGGCTCCAGAAAATTGAGGTTCAGACTACAAGGTATTGATTATCCCCACATACTGTACTTGCTTTTGTGAGGAGTTCGACCATTGACAACAAACAACTTGCTTCCAATTATTGGTTGGTTTACTCGCCGTTCATCAATTCTCACGGTTGACCCGCTGTGCTCCGAGTTGGTTATTCAAACGATCAAGGTCACTGCTGCTTGCACTACTGTTGTCAGTTGTCTCTTGAAGTATTAAACCTTGGCTCGTTCGCGTTCTAGAGCCAGTGGCTGATGCAGCTTTGATTATTGCACTCTCGATAGCAACCACACTATTCCAGTACAGCTGGTGTGTGACTACTAGTCATGGTATTTCCCAGTGTGTCTGATTTCTGTCCACGACATCATCGAGAGACTGCCATTTGCTTTGTTGTTTTGAGGTCAGAACTAGATCAAGAGTTATATGTAGAAAACACGAATAACGAACAAGCTCGTTACCGGTAACATCACCCAATTTACTAATACGGTTGAATTTAAAGGGTTAGGAACGCATCATTTATGAACAATATCTGTGGGTTAAAAGGTGATTGGTTAGTCATCAAAATTGGTGTTGCTTAATTAGAGAAAATGAGAGGGATGGGGGGAAATGTTGTTATTCAGTGGTTGGCAAAGGGACCAGAAATATAGATTTCGGGGATTATCGATTTCCAGTTTCAGCGAAAGGGTTAGCGATTGGATGGCGCTGGATTCGAGTGTTGATCTTGGATTCCGGCCAGGGGAGTTTTATTGAATTACCAAAACGATCTTTATAGCAAGAAAATCGGTTGGTTAATCTGGTAGTTACGGACAATTTTCGTAATTTGTGCAATTCCAACTTATAAATATGTGCACAATAGAAGGAAAATCCCCATGAGCCGAGGCCCAGTAGGTGTATCAAAAGGCACCAACACGAACAACAAGATAGCGGCTTCAAATCTCTCCGTTACACCAGGTCACAAGTAATACTACTCTGATGGACGTACTCGTCAAGGTGTTCATTGTTGTGCCGTGAAAATATTTCCGAAATGCTTCTCGGTTATTTTTAGACTATGGACGAAATGAGCCACGAAATAGACCATATCAAATGAAATGTTGGTTTCAGAAGAATGAGTGATTTGCAAATGTTTTCTACTCAGGTCTACATCAAACAAAATCAATCATTCGTTTTATCTGAATCTAAAAGTTTTCAATTATTAATTCATCAGTAAAGCTTTAGCTGTCCTGTGATAGTTAAAAAGCGGGATAAACTCGTAACATTTTTGCATTGTAACTTGCATTATTTGCAGAATTATTGTTGACCGGAAATTCGAGTGAGGAGAAAGGTTGACATCATAAACAATGGGATCATTTCTGAGTCACACGCGAAGTCGAACCTACTCTTTGACAGTAAATCAAAAGGTATCGTTTGTTTTCACGCTTACACAGAAATGGATAATTTGGGGTAAAACCTCCTTACTAGATCAGAAAATCTGGTGTGCAAGTTTGAGCAAATTTGAGCACAATCGTATGCAAGAGGGCTAGAATATTTTTTCTATAGATCTCAGAGGCTAGATACTACAATTTGCGAGTCTACATTTCGATGACTGAATAAGAATAAACATAAAAGAGGAATTTGGTTTGACATTTGTTTCTTGGCCCACTTAGTACAAACTTCTACAATATTCGCAAGATTGAAGGGAACAGTGAATTAACGATAGAAAACAATATGCATACATTGTGGTAAGAAATGCTACGCAAATTCGCATTTCTTCGTTGATAGAAATGTAATCAATTGTACATTCACTCTCGGAATGGACATTCTGAGTTGCATTTGCAAATTGTTGTATCATAGCTGAGATAGATTCGAATAAATTTAAAATCAAAGATCATGTAATATGATATATGTACGTGTTTATTTTTCGGTGACAGAGCATTTTCCGAAAAGATGGTAGTCAGTCGACATCACCTAACTGCCTGTGTAGTGCAAATGAAATGGATTACTACGCGACCCAGTGGGATGCCATTGTTCTTTTGCTCAAGATTTACTTTTATTTCAATTTTACGAATGTGAATTTGCACGAGTACTTACGAGCCCCAACTCGAAGAAAGTATATTTTCACAAAGTTCAAGAGTGGAATAGAGACTAGGAATGTGTAAGATGTTCAAGGTGATAGCTCTTGACGACTGTTGGTGCAATAGCAGAACGATGAGGTTGAATAAGCGTTTACCATTTATGTTATGTTCCGTGAAAAATGTATTCGTGTCAACGAATAACCGGATGTCAGTCTGACCCCTGGAAGGCAGAAAGATGGTGCAGGTTGAAAACTGTAAATTATTACGTCATTTGGGAAATTTGTGTCTAAAACTGAAAGTAGTACTTTTGGCGACTCATTTAAGGATGGTGGTAACAGGCAAAATGGTATTCTGAATGATTAGAAAATCGAGTGATCTGTGTCGTTAACGAGCAGGCATGACGATGAAATCAACAAGCAACCGACCATACTCTACCGTAATGACATTTCTGACTGAGAAATATTAGTACAATTAATCCATTTAGCGTTGTTGCCACACTTAAATTATTCTGGCCTCAAAGACATTGATAGTTCACAAGAGATAACTGTGATGTTTACTGCAGCCGATCTTTCTAATGTAGAGATCAGAAGCCGTTGTACAACTCAACCAGTGTTTTAAGTTTTACAGGAAAATTTGCTTTTCTCCAACCCGGTGACAGAGCTTGTCTTTGATCAAGATATGAATCACTAAAATCGTGGGTCCTTGACCGATGTAGTCCCCATGGAAGCAATACCAGAGTATCACTACTTTATTGTGTGCTGAAAATCGCTAACCACATGCACCATAATGCTTCCACCACGAAATGTCTGGCTTTCACGCACAAGCATACGATATTATGGGTGAAGGTGGGCCACTTTATCGGACCTGTGATTGCACAGCAAGTAGTTTATTTATTTACCTAATCTAAATGCGGGCATTTAGTACGTATTCAGGCAGATAAACTTCGTCACAAATTTTCTTCCCCTAGGCAAATAGGGTTTTGAATGGTAGGCAAAACTGATGATGATGATGATGATGATGATGATGATGATGATGATGATGATGATGATGATGATGATGATGATGATGATGATGATGATGATGATGATGATGATGATGATGATGATGATGGTGATGATGATGATGATGATATTGATGATGACGATGATAATGATGATGATGATGATAATGATCATGATGATGAAGATGATGATGATGATGATGATGATGTTGATGATGATGCTGATGATGATGATGATGATGTTGATGATGATGCTGATGATGATGATGATGATGATGATGATGATGATGATGATGATGATGATGATGATGATGATGATGATGATGATGATGATGATGATGATGATGATGATGATGATGATGATGATGATGATGATGATGATGATGATGATGATGATGATGATGATATAGTACAACTTATGAAAACCGTGTCCAGTGGGTCTGGTTGTGTTAGGCTTCTGTGACGAATTCACAAGATGGTTGGAGTTAAAACGTTATGCGGCCCTGATTCGTAGTCAGATGCGTGGCTGCATTTGAGCTGGTTTTTCATCATCGAAATTTCTGCGCTCTGCTTCCGCTTTTCCACTCTCGGGCGCCCAATGCTTCGAGATATTCACCCGAACAAGTTCACAGATTCAGACAATTCACTTCTGCAAGAATAGATGAGAACAGAGTGGCTCTTTGTCCGAATACCTCTCCTCTGGTTTTCTCATTAGTACAATAATTTCTTTAGAACCCCTTTCATTTATCACTAATAAGAGCTTTTCATTGTTGTAGGAAATTAGTCAAAAATTGTAAAGCCTCAGTGGTGAATCGTTTATTCTGATAATGACAATGTGCTTTATCATAGCAATCTCTTTTGCTTGTGAAGCAAACTGTCTTATTTTTCAGTGTCTGAAATACTTGAACGACCTCTTCAAGTTTGGAAAACATTTTCGTTCAAATAAAGTAATATTTTTGATATATACTTTGGAATTTGTCACCTTGGCAAAAGGACCCCAAAAACAGTCTTTGGATTATCGGTTAAACAGTCTCTGACCTTTACCAGTTATTATTTTGGACTCTGTTACCAACAAATGAAGTAAAATTTATCCGGTTTTGTGGAAAGTATGTTTTCTACCTCATTACGGGAATCATCAATAAACAACAGCTTGTTTTGAATTCCACCCCAAGTTGTCTCTTTCGATGTGTAGAATTTCAAAAGACCAAGCACTGATGATAGGGAATCGGATTCCCATTCCAATCGTATCGATCAGCTAACTGTACACGTCTAGTCATTAGCCTTCGAAAATTCTTGAGAGTTATGTTCATGAGCAATCCGCAATACGAAAAGAGCCACAAATAGTTTGTGGAGATGGGGTGGAGTCGGCTTGTGGCCTTCTATGTCCTGTGTGGGATATCCGGATGCTGCTAAATCACACGGAAACTAACTGCATGCACCGCACAGCGATTCTTCAGAGCCCGAATGAATGGTAAAATAGAAAACTGCTTTCCAAATCTTAGAGAGATATTCGCTGAAAAATGTTTGTTGATTCACACAACCTAACAAGGTTAATTATTGGTGAATATGGTAACATCGATTGAACAGTCTGCAAGTGCCTACTGGGCATTATGCCATTTCTCCTTCATACTCGTGTGTGAGTAGGATCGCTGGCCTAATTGTAACACAATTTTACAAACAAGACAACTGTCGTAACCTCAGATTAAACACGAATAGTTTCCCGTACAAAAGATTTCAGATGAATCATCTTTCTGCGTGTGATTCCTTTTCACTTACTCAGAAAGGGGTTAACTACTCTACTATTCTGAGGACTTCAGATTGAATGAAACACAAATTAAAAGGCAATGATTCCCAGTGCGCTATGGTCCTACTGAACCGGAAGACGAGACGTACGAGGAGTACTTGCATTTGACTAGTAAGGCAACGGTCCAATACTGATGTATGTGCTACGTAATATATAGTTCTTTTTGAAGTCAAAACATCAGAAATGTTGATCCTTCGGCTGACTAAAATTTCGGCGTCGTTTTAACTGTGATTGCAACTAGTCAATTGGTTCTCTTGCAAACGCTTTTCGTTTCATAGGTTAGATTGCTCCCATCAATATCTTGGTCGGCAGCTCCCTACATGCGCGATCTCAGTGACTGTCTAAGATCACGCTCGAATCATAAGGCTATTTTTGTCTCCAAGGGAATGCTCCCGACAGATCCACTGTCTCTCTGTTGGTCTGCAGTCATTGATCTTCTGTTGTAGCATTCCCGCCATTATTTGGTTTCAGGAATTTACACGCACACTATATACATATATATATACATATATATATATATATATATGTATATGCATGTACATATCTTCATTTATACATATATACATGTGTATATGTTTATATATTTTCGCATTTGAGAACTTGCTTCAGTCGTTTAGGGCAACAAACCACCTAAATTTTCTTTCTGAATACTAACCGCTTCAATACCTCATGTCTTGTTTGGACATTTTGCTTGCCGGAGCACGTTACCCGGTTTGTAGAGTTTGATTTCTACCACGTAGGTTGGGATTTCGGATCCTATCACTTCCGGTCATTCTGGGAGAAGACAGTAGTTCATTACATTCCCACTCACTACCACCACACCTACTGGGAAATATTGCCGCTTAGGGAAATTCGCAGTAACCATCGCCAAACCTATGGAAGTATATTTACGTGGACCAAGCGATTGCTGATTCTACTGATTCCGTGCATCTATCTCCTAATCTCGACAACATTTAGCCAAGGAAAACGAATATTTTGGCAAACTGGATTGGTTGGTAAAACCTGATCTCCATTGCCATCATGGTCAGGACTCGTTGTCTGATCTCTCTGGAATGGCTTTGATACATTCGAAATACGAACTTGAACGCTCGATCTCATGTTCGCCACATTGGTGGAAAGCATAGTTGTGTTCCGAATGCGTTCAAGGGGGATACACATACCGAGCGGTTGTCAAAAACACTCAGAGCGGCTGTAAACTCCACCTCTCCACATTATCCACCTCTCCTGTGATCCGCATGCAGGTAGAAGACAAACTGACTGAGCTGACTTCCTCCATGATCATTTACTCGTTCAGATGCGAATGTGGTGCATCCTACATAGGTCGCAAGGCTAGGCGTTTGTCTCAGCGCATTAAGGAACATCATCCAAGATGGTTGAGTCACGGGAAAACCGGTGTGATTACCAGTTCGATTCTAGGTCATTTTGTGGACAGTGGCCACACGATCGACCCTGAAAAGGCTTTCAAAGTCATATACCGAGTTCCATCCAATCGATCAAAGCCAGTCCGACTTCGATCCCTGGCGACGGTAGAGGCAGTCGCCATTCGCTTATTAAACCCCAATCTATGTGCACAAAAACGACTAGTCCAGGCTCTCCAGCTGCCCTGGCCGAAACCGGAAACCACGGATCGCCGACCGAACCCCAAAAGTCCACTATCGATTACCACTCGTGACGGTGAGAGTGAAACTTTCACCACAACACGCACATGATAGAGACACCCGTCCCCACCAACCCCATTTTTCCTAACGCCACGACAATGACCTTTACTCCGGCCAATTTTTAACGCATTCCAATGTCACCTCACCCATATGAATTGTAAGAGCACGTATAGGATTCATTGAAAACAGTTGTTCGCTCTCCAGCGTCTTGTTCTTAATGTGACCATGACTGTGGGACTTTTCAGATTACAAGCAACATTATTACACGTACCTGGAATATATTCGCCAGAGTGTTGTGGGTTGCTCTGTTGTACTAATTTATCTAAATTTTGGTCAAAAATCAGACCCTCGCATTTGCCTCCTGTGTTGATTTCTCGGTTGAACTTGGCTGTGGTGTATTTGGCAATCTTAAGTACTAATTCTAATTTACTCTTATCCAGCTGCAGTTGTTGAATCAACGTTCATCTTTTAGGCTCAATAGCCCAAAGGAACACTTTCGAGATTTGGTTATGTTAAACGTTCCTAGTTTGTCGTATATAGTACAGCAGCTAGTAGGAAATGACTTTGTTCTGAAGCTCGTTGATATTAGTCGCTACCCGTCATTCGAATATACTATAGACTAGACCTTACACTAATCAATTGCCTTGGCAACCACTGGACAGTAATCTTACGAAGCTCTTGTCAAAAGATGTCTGTTGTTTCTTATCCAGGCTGTAGTATATCAAGTAGTTCTATTGGTAGTTCAGCTTGCTTTGGAGATAGAGCTGACTTGTTGTCATCTGGAATGAAAGGAAGCACAATTGCGCTACAATCGGAGTTGGATAAGCAACAAAGGCTTTTCGGGGTGAGGAATGGAACGGAAATGGCGAAGTTTTGTTTGGCATTTGTTAAGGAAGAAAACAGTCGACTGAGATGAGATTAGAGATTAAGTGACCGGAGTTGAACATCTATCTTTTTATCTAGGTGATCATCATATATAGCGGTTTCTGGTGGCAGAATCTATAATAGATTATTGTTTGGATATTCTGAGCGTAAAATTGGAATCATTATTAGGCTGACCGTCCAATTACTTCACGTTTGCGGAACACTGAATATTAGGTTGAATGTAAGGTTCAGGATGGTTGTCAGCATTTACTGTATCTGATGTACAACTGAAAGGGACAGACAAGAGAAACAATTTCACAATTCTATGCTTCCTCCAAAGTTAGCAAAATATCGGTCCGGAGAACCTCCAAAATATATGCATGCAAACGATCATGTAGTAGCTCACGCACTGACTGATCGCTTGCCACAAGGTTTTATGCCTCTGACCAATGATTTGGAAGCCCCAACCAAACTGCCTTCAAATATTCTAAACTGTGAACTAGTGCTCACGAATAAATCTCATGTCACACCCCGAATAACGGCCGAACACTGGAGTGCTACCCGTGGCCGTAGTCAGATAGTGAACTCTAAATACACTATTAATATTGGTATCATAACCGAATAGATGTCAATAACGCGAATGTACGGAAAATCCAACCCAGGGATATCAACACAATGTCACAGTTCAAGCTCCAGCAATAAGCAGCACGTTTACATCTCGATTAAGCACAATAATAAATCAATTTTGGGCAGTGCAACGTCGTAAGTGGTCGTTCGAAGGCTAAAGTCAGTGTGAGGGATATAATCAATAAATAAGAATGGGAAATAACCCGACGGCTCTCTCTGTTGTCTTGCTCTCTATGGTGTCTTAGCGATAAAGTGGTTGTGAATAACTTTGGAAGAATCACTGTGATGCTTACAAAATAGACTCCTCGTTCATACACCCTCCGTTCAATTCAAAGGAGTCTAGAGCTACTTATAAATATTTCCACAAAAAACTCGCTTATTTGTATTCATCTGCACAACTAATTTAAAGGTCGAAAGTACCACTGGTTTACCTCATGTAGGTTTATTGGCAACACAGTATAATAACAATTTACACGGTATCAGTAATTAAATGTTCGTTATTGTTCGCTT